CAAGGTAGCTTAGTGGTCCGTGTCCAGAACCTACCTAAGCTGGGCTCGAGACTTGGCCAGTCCTGGGCCATGACAAGTGGTGTCAGAAGCAGGATAGTGAACGCCACTGACAAATGGTGCTTTGAGCAGGATTCAGTGAACATGGATCGAGAGGGAAATAAGCTTTAGCAAAATAAGAAAAAGAGAAGAGAAATAGAAATACTTAGAGGGAAAAGAAATATCTAAGAAAGACAGCCAACAGTAGGCTTTTCTCATTTGGTTTTTCCTCTTCTTTCCTACGTTTTCTCTTTCCAAATTCTACTTTTGTGGGAAAAGTAGTAAAAGCCTTTAGCCTCTTCTGTGAAGCGACTGGAGGAAAAAGAAACCCCAGAAAAAAGCCTTTAGACAAGAGGGAAAGAGAAAAGATAGAACTAGGAGATAAGTAAACAAGCCTTTAGCCTCAGGGGTGAGAAAAGCCTTCCGTAAAACAGCAAAGAGAAAAGTTTCGGAACAGGTTGCAAGAGTTTATTAAGTTAGGGAAGAGAACTTCTAACTGCCTTCCCCTAATACCTTCGCCCAATGCCAGCAGGAAGCAGCTTTTGAGAGACCGACGCCCCGATTCCCTTTTTGGCAGTTAAGAGTTCTGTTTAAAAAGAAAAGAATTGAGGTGGATTGAGGCTGGTGAAGAAATAGTGGAAGTAAAGTTTGCAAAATAAGACCCTAGAGTAAAAAACAGCTAAAGAGCTCCTGTCCTTTTAAGGCAGCCAAAGGTTCTAAGAATTGAAAAGGAAAAATTGTAGAAAGTAACAGGCTGAAAGAAAAAAGCTAGTAGAGGAAAATCATGGCAAATGAGATACAGTAGTTGAAATACAGTTGAGAGATCAGATGAATCTTATAGTAGAAGCAGGTAAATGCTATATTGACATGACAACTCAAATTGGGCAGCTGGAAGATCAGAGGGTAAATCCCCCAGTTAACATCAAATGCCATAAATGTGGGAAGCTAGGCCGTAAGAGAAAAGAGTTTAAAAGGGAAAAGAACGTTGAATGCTAAAAAAGGAACAAAGAGCATGTAAACCTCCAGGTGTATGTCCCAAGTATAAAAAGAGCTTTCACTGGGCAAACAAGTGCCGTTATCAATTTGATAGAAGATGGAACACCTTTATTGTAGGGGAATTATCAGTTAGGTCAGAATCAGGACCCACTGGTAAATGAAAGAAAAAAGTTTAATATTTTCATTTCAAACCATTCTCAGAAAAAACAGTATAATTCAATTCTATGCCGCGGGCGCACTCTGCCAGCTTGGTTAGACCTGTGGTGCCTCAGAGTAAAACTGGGGAAATTAAATCAGACCAATGGATGACAATAGAGAATAATTAGATTAAATATGTTTGTGGAATATTAGGTTATCCTGCGTGGTGAAGGGGTAACCGACCTCTCATCAGTGTCCGTGCACTACAACTGGGTCCAGCTAAGGAGACTGGACACGGCCCAAAGGGGAAGCAAGTGAAGCCTTTGGAAGATTATGAGAGGTGAGAACAAAGAGAGGGAAGAGTACAAGTTAAGCCACCTCTGTGCTAGGAAACTCCATTTGAAAAAAAGTCTGGAATCAATTAGCAAAAATTTCACTGGAAAAGCAGCTTGAAAGCAGGAAAAACTCTATCAAGGAATTGTGAAGAGCGGTACTTTTTGGACCACGAGTAACAGTTCCATGAGAGGAACTGCCAAGTGTGGAACCATTAATCCACGAATAACAGTCTTTTGCGATCTGTGAAGGGTGGATTTCAGTACCTCGAGTAGCAAAACCTTTGGAATAGCGAGAGAAAAATCCTTGCTTGCAAAGATTGCAAGGAAAGTGTTATTTTTTGTTCCTCCGTTAAGTAAATATCAAAGGAAAGTTCCTACAGTTAAAGAAATGATAAATTCTATAAGGAAAGATTTCAGTTTTCTCCGTTTAAAAAGACCTTTAAGAGAATTAACATCACAATCGTTTTCCTCTAGCAGTGGCTAATAGTTCACATCTGTATTGGGCTTCCTCACTTAAAGAGCCCATACCTGGAATTCTGAACTCTGATAATTACCATCTTTTGCCTAGAAAGAAAAGGGCTAGATAACAGAAAGAACCGCCCTTACATTAAAAGTTATTTTGTTTGTATATAAAAAAGGGGAGAAATGTAGCAGCCCGTATAGCCTATGGCTAAGAGGAGTGAGAGTTATAAGAAATACCTGTAATGGAAGGTGAAAAGGGCATGGAGAGAGATTTGGTCCTAACAAGCATGAGAGAGCTCACGAGATGAGCGCATTGGTGAATTGGCAGTCTCTACACCTGTAGTGGTGAGAGGCACGAGCTCAGCCTTATATTAGGCTGGAGGAGAAGGCAGTCGGGAGCATGCGCATTCTATTTCGGATCCATTTACTCTGACTCTGTCTCCTCTCCTGCCTGCAGAACGCCAGCGCGGTGTCTCTGCTAAAGACTAAGAGCTATCTGTTCTAAGAAGACTGCTTTACTCTCTCTAAGATACTGTCTCTCTCTCTCCAACTAAAGTAGATAGCCCTCAAGCACCTACGAGAAACTGTTCCTGAGCAAAGTAGCTTAGTGGTCCGCGTCCAGAACCTACCTAAGCTGAGCTCGAGACCTGGCCATTCCTGGGCCCTGACATCTGTGCCCATTGCTCTTGCTGTCTATCTCCTATTTTCCTCAGGTACCTGTCTGCTGGCCCCTTTCTGTCTTAAGGGCTATAGGGAGTGTCAGCCCCAGTATTGCTTTTTTTTTTTTTTTGAGACAGAGTTCTTACTCTGTTGCTCCAGGCCACAGTGCCATGGAATCATAGCTCTCAGCAACCTGGGCTTAAGTGATCCTCTTGCCTCAGCTTCCCAAGCAGCTGGGACTATATGCATGCACCACCATGCCCGGCTAATGGCTAGTTTTTCTATTTTTTTTTAGTAGAGATGGGGTCTCACTCTTGCTCAGACTAATCTCAAACGCCTGAGCGCAAGCAATCCACTCACCTTAGAGTCCCAGAGTGCTAGGATTATAGGCGTGATATGTACTCCCTCCCCTCCATTATTGCTTTTAAGGAAAATTGTCCTAACCCCTTCTGGTGAGCTTAATCTCATCAGTCCGACCATTGAAGTGCCAACAAAGTTTTATCAATTAAAAAAAAAAAAAAGAACCCTATAGAGGTCTGTCTCTGAAACTAAGGGCTGGTATCAAACTTTTTCTATAAAGGGCTATACAGTAAATATCTTAGGCTTTATAGGCCTTATAATCTCTCCTGTGACTACTTGAAGCAGTCACAGAAAATGTGTTAAAGAAAACAAAGGAACGTAGCTGTGTGCTGCAATAAAACTATAAATACAAGTGGTGGGGCAGATTTTGGAGCCCTCCCTTAATCCACAGGGCTGAAAGAAAGAGTTGGCCATGGTTAGCTTAACACTCTCACATTCCTCATAAACTACATTATCAAATGTAAGATGTTGTTTCCTGTGTCTGTTACCTCCACTGCAGCTGGCACACAATGACCCTTTGGTGAGGCCATTAACACTGGCTACTATGTGATACCATTATCAGGCAATTGGCTGGTGCCCAAACCACAAATTACCCCTGAAATTAGTAGCACTTCTGTTATTTATTTTCATGAATAAAACACTAAAATAAAGAATTAAATTTACTGTGTCCAAAGTCAGGTACAAAGTACATTCTTGATTTCTGCAGTTTGGCTTAATGACTAAGGTGCTTTCACCTTGATCTAGCACTTTAATCTGCCTTGAAACTATACTCACAAAAGCTCAGTTAACATCTAATAACTCACATTAATTCCAACAGCTTTTGAAAAGATAAACACAATCCATAAGATTGTGAGAAGCCCTCAAAACCAAAGAGACTCCTCAAGGGCCTGTGAGGCGCACAGAGGGTAAAAGGCAGTAATTGCTGTACACTTGACTTCTGTGACTCTTTAGTAACATTGACCTGCCAGAAATACCCTGCAGGCTTTCCTTTCTCTTCTCCTTTTCTCAATCCCGCTTTACAAAAGAAGGCACACTTGTTATCCACCCCAAATCCTCCTACGGTGACAAACCTCTGAAAAGGACAAGTCAAAATATTTGGTAATGGCAAAGCTCCTGCATTCAGAGCACCCCACACATGCTCTATATTCCTCTATCTTTTACAGTCAGTGTAGGGAAATAGAAATGGGGCATTTTGGGACCAGGTTGAATTGCACTGAATTCAAAATACTGCAAGGTGGGGCACAAGTGACAGTTTCAACCATCCACCTTTGCACATTTATCCTCCACCTGTTGTCAAAGAATGCACCATTCCCAAAGGTGCAAGGCAGAGAGAATATCGTCAGAAACCCTGATGTGATGTGCAGATGACAGTCTCAGAGAAGCGGCTCTGGGCCTTGTCTATCAGCATTCAGAGAGACATGACTACAATAGGGAGATTTATGTCAATAATTTAAAAAGATCAAGTTAGACTTTTTCCAAGAGAAAGCATGTCTGTTTTAGTCAATGCATTTGATAATAAGGCCTGTCAGATTCTGTAATGGACATTTTCCTCAATATGAATTGAAATGAACAGTTTAATTCTCCCAACACCAAGCATTTTGCGTTACAACCGGGTACCTCTAAATGAATGATTAATAATTATAAATAATCACATGTTATGTCTTGAAAAATGGTTTTGTTATAATTCCTAGAAGTAGGGAAAGCAAAGGACTCTAAAAAATACTTTTGTGAGTCAAAAGGATTTTAATTTCTTTACTTTCAATAAAATCAAGGACTCAGTTAAGTTCTCAACCGCTCATTAAAAACAATGGGGTGAAAGCTAGAGCCCGCTGGCATTCCACCCTGAAATCTCGAGCGGGTTACGGCCCTGAGTTTCAGCTCCCCTGTGGTAGTGCACACAAGCCTATGCTGGCAAGGGGGGACTGGAATGTCCAGCAGAGTAGATACAAAGCAGTCTGAGAAACGTCTACTTAGAGATCGATAGATTAGAGACAAGAATACAAATATAACTGGAAAATAATTGATAGTTTCCCCCATAGATACCCTGCAGCCACGGGCACCTTGACCTACAGGCTGTAACTTTTCCTTGTTATCCTCCTGCCCCACCCGCTAGAAGTATTTCTTGATGTGTAGCTTAGCACTCCCCTGTCCTTCAGCCTAACAACTTTCTTCCCTCAACAAAGAACTGCCTGTTTAATTGAAGCATGAAGCTGTTACCTTTTCACTTTTCGCCTTGTAAGAACATGCCCAATTTTTCTAAATAAATATAGCCCTGAGTCCTGGGCTCAGGGCAGCTCCTGTTAGCCTCAAGAGGGGTTGGCACAGTCTCATGGGTCAGGACGCTGTGTGTGTGCGTGTATGTGAGATTCTCTTAGCCCTTCTCTCCCTTTGTCTGCCAGACCCTGGGCAGTCAGGTCAGTTTCCTGAACCCCCTGTTCCCTGGCAGTGGCTCAGTTCCTAGGCTGCTAAAAATAACTTTTTTTTTTTTTGGAGACAGAGTTTCATCTTGTTTCCCTGGGTAGTGTGCCATGGTGTCATCATAGCTCACAACCACCTCAAACTCTTGGGCTCAAGAGATCCTATTGCCACAGCCTCCTGAGTAGCTGGGAGTACAGGTGCCCACCACCACACCTGGCTAGTTTTTTCTATTTTTAGTAGAGATGGGTCTTGCTCTTGTTTGGGCTCCTCTCAAACTCCTGAGCTCAGGCAATCCACTGGCCTTCGCTTCCCAGAGTGCTAGGATTACAGGCATGAGCCACTGTGCCCGGCCTAAAAATAACTTCTGACATCTCATCATTAGGTGACCTTGGACATATAAGTCAGAAGGTACAGAGAGAACTGAGACTACTCCCGTAACAAAACTCTTCCTTAGCCGTTATTTATGTGAATAAGTTTCTCAGCCCTTACACACATAACAACAAAATGTGGAAACAGAATTCCACTCATTATAAAGTTCAAAAGTTTTTACATTAATGGTGATAACTAGTAAAATAGAATATATCTATTTTTGACCAATTGTGTAATAATAAACATAGCAGCAACACAGCCCGAATGTTTTCAACTCTGAGAACATTGAGCTGTAGTAAATTTTTAAAAAATGAGATTTCAAAGAAGTGCATATTTCTGATCTAAAGGAGTATGAAAGAGGGATTAGTAAAAGACTTCTAAGCATAACAAGATATTAGGATAAAATTCTGTGGGAAAGATGAAATGGATCTGCGTCAAAGGAGAGAAGGGACCGTGTCAAACTTCCAACAGTTAAACATGCTTAGTGGGTTTTGGAATGAATGGTGATGGGTATTGCTATGGTGTTTAGATTGCCCTGAATACTGTTTTAAGTGTTACTGCTGTTACAATTCCCTGGGAACCCAGTCCTTAGCAACTCTTTAAAAATTTGTAATACAAAATTTTAGATGTCAACGAAAACACGTGCCTGGGGGTGGGGAGGTTGCATGGTTTCTTCAAAAGTCTAATAAGGGAGAGGGCAATTTTGTACAAAGTTTGACCACCCTGCTCTACCCTATTTGCTCTGAAGTGGGCACCCCCGAGGTTTCAGAGTTGGAGCAGCCTCTGTGCCATGAAGGCGGTGACAGGAGCCTGTGGGCTGACTGTTCACGTCCCCTTCCAAGAATCTAAGCTGGGGAGTCTTTCTCAGGCCTTGCCTGCGCCCACACCTTGTGGAACATTCAGGGGTCCCCTCAACCCTCTGGGGCGTTAATGCTGCTTTATCACAGCCACCTCAAAGCTCGCCTGGCCCTAACCAACCTGGCCGTACAAACCCAACGTACGCGGGTGCTGGGCGCCCAGACCCGGTGCGCACTCCGCGTTGCGGCGGCAGCACTCGCAGTCCTGGCTCCAGTGGTAGCCGGCCGTGCAGGCGCAGCGTCGCGGGGCCGTGCGGTTGCCTGGCTCCACCGCCACCAGGGCCTTGCCTGCGGGAGACAAGAGACAGGTCAACAGCGGCCAGGGTCAGGGCCCATCCACGTTGCAGCTGCCGGACACCCAGACCACGCTGCCCGCCTGGCTCGCTCACAGCATGAATCACTGGGAACACGCTGTTGAAGGAACCCCCAAGTTCCTCCTGGCACTTCCTGTATGGGCACCAATGCGTCCTAGTGGGCTTTTTTCTTTGTCTGATAATTACTTTTAGAAAAGTCAATTTGCATGTTACTAGGAAGATAAAGACTGGAGAATTTATGATCATTAAATGCTTCTCCCAATAGTCAGAGGTAGTCCCCGGCTTCATGGACTTGCCAGTCTCCCTAGTAAATTCTAATGTCATAAATATTCTTAACGTGAAAAATACAAGATTGGACCCAAGAGAATGGGATTTCTGGAGATATGGGATTCATGTTGGGTTCCTAAAGGGTCCCAAGGTGAGAACGGGAGTCACTGTGGCAGCCCTGAAGTCACTCTGGGGCCCGCCTCTCCCCAGATACTGTCCCTTTTTACACCACACCTAGGAAAATGCTCACCTTACTCTTAATCTCCTGTCCTCTCCCAGCTTTTCTGGAATGTAGGTATGTGGGAATTGATCTTTGAAAACCACACACACACACACACCACGGAATCTATCCTCATTATTCACAGATTTATATTTGCAAAATTTATCACCCCCAAATCAATATCTTTGCAATCATTTATGGACATGTACAAAACTGAGTAAATTTTGAGTCATTCCGCTCAGGTTCCTGAGGAAGAACCAGGTGAACTCTGGTTGGTAGAAAAACTCCACCTCCTTGTTTCCACTCTCATGCTGCAAACAAGTGCCCTTTTGGGGTCTATCGTCCAATGCCATGTTTTCCTCATTTTTGTGCTTTTTGTCAGTGATTTCTCTGTTTAAAACACCACCACCACCCCCACCCCGCCCCGAGCCTGGTGCTCTAGTGCTTTCTGTGTCTCTCAGCGTGACATGGCTGCCATGTGCCTCACCAGGACCACGCGTGTGACAGGTAAACCTTGTTCAGGCATGAGTTGTAGAGCTGCTTCCCAGAGTGCCACGAGGACTATATATCAAATGAAGTGTCTTTACACAGGACACACATAAAACAAGGTTTTGTGTTGAAAATGCTGTCGATAGGCACCTAACCTAACCCTGAATTGTTTCCGAGGAGCAATGGCTGGGGATCTGCTAATTCGGGGTTTGCAGTGACTTAAAGATCACAAATACTGTAAGAATCAACGTGTGCATGCACATGGTCCAGACAGCTTACAGCCCATGGGGCTGCCTCACCCAGACTGTCCCAATGGGACTTGAACCTTATATTCCTCCATACTTAAAGCACTTCCAAGGGAAAATGAAATAAACCAGAAACCACTTGCCACTTGCAATGTCTCATGTTACAGCCAGCAGGGAGGGGACGTGACTATTGTCATTGTTGTAGGACCTGAGTGTGTTAAACCCGGAGACGTCCCCATTCCCTTCAGTGCCCACTTTTGGAGGCTCAGGTCAGCAGCCTTGCAGCACCAGGGCCAAAATGCAGAGACATGGGGACATGGATACATGCCACTTGTGAGGACAATTCTAAGTGATCCCAGGAACCCACGCAAATGTAAGTGGTGTGGGTGATGAATAATTTTGACATATTTTTAAATATCTTAACGTATCAGGTGTTTTGTTTTAATCAATTTTGGCAGTAGACAGAATGAATCTTTATTTCCAAGAGACAGCAATGAGTCAAGGTCATCACTCAGCACTGGGAAATAAAAAAACTTGATCAGATGCTTCCACTCAGTGAAGTTTCCATGTTACCATCTCCAGACAAAATCAGCCACCTCTCTCTAGCACATTAGAAAAACTATGATGTTAAAAACAATACTTAGGGCGTTGCCGATAGCTCAAAGGAGTAGGGTGCTGGCCCCATATACTGGAGGTGGCAGGTTCAAACCCAGCCCCGGCCAAAAACAAACAAACAAAAAAACCCTTAATTTCTAATTCTGTCCAATGGAAAAAAACTCTGTAAACAGGGATGAATCCAGTAGCAATGAGTCTCCCTAGTTCCTGGACTGAGGTCACTAAAACAAATGTTCCACTAAAAGCCATCAGGAATCTGTAGGGAAATGGCTGATTGTGGTTTAGGACAGAGGTTGTCCAAGGTAGGCCTGGAAGCAAGGGAGCTCTTAAGGACACCCGGGGCTATATCAAAATACTTGGAGTGAGGAGTGCCAATGGCTCACACCTGTAATCCTAGTACTTTGGGTAACTGGAGGCAGGAGGATCACTTGACATCAGGAGTTAGAGACCAGCCTGAGCAAGAGACCTTCTCTGTACAAAAAATAGAAAAATTAGCTGGGCATTAGGTGGTGTGCTGGTAGTCGCAGCTACTCAGGAGTCTGAGACGGGAGGAAGAGTTGAGCCCAGAGTTTGAGGTCACAGTGAGTTATGATGACCTACTGCACTCTAGCCCAGAGACTGTCTCAACAATGACAACAAATAAGACTTGGAGCTGACTCGAACATGTGGTACAATCTGAGCACCATAGAGCTAGTAACTGTAATAGACAGAAACACCTCAGCTATATCTAAATCCATGAGTTCAGAATATTAATGCAAATCCTTGGGATAATATTGAGACAGGGTCTCACTATGTTGCCCTTGATAGAGTGCCATGGCATCATAGCTTACAACACCTCAAACTCTTGGGCTTAAGCGATTTTCTCGCCTCAGCCTCCCAAGTAGCTGGGACTATAGGCATCCGTCACAACACCCAGCTATTTTTTTGTTGCAGTTGTCATTGTTATTTAGTTGGCCCAGGTCGGGTTCAAACCTGCCACCCATGGTGCATGTAGCTGGCGCTGTAACTACTGTGCTGCGGGTGCCAAGCCTAAGCTTCATAATCTTAATAATTAAGGCATTGTTTTGAAAAGTGGTAAATAAAGTTATTAGCATTTATTCTGCCTTTCCTATGTGCTCAAATAGTTGCTGAGGGAAGTTTCTCTTTATAAAGCATGCCAGCTAATAAGTGAAGAAGAAATAAGAGATTGGGGGGGATCACCTTTCTGCAGCCCCTAATAAAAACAATCTACAGCACGATCATTAGCAGATGCTAATATCACAAAGAGAAATAAGCAGCTACTATACCATTGCATATGAACTATATTATTTATGGAAGAATTTTGCCAAAAAAACAAAAACAAACCCCCCCCCAAACCAACCAACAAACAAAAAAAGAAAGCACAATGTGACTGGCCTTCTAGCCCTAACAACCAATTTACAGGAAGCATGTGGTATGTATAGGGGACAGAAAGATATATTAAGTGACACCACGAGAATGCAACTGGCAAAATCCAGACTGTGGAAACTACACAGGACTAACAACGTGGGTTCCTGAACAAATAAACGGAATGGAAAGGGGAAAAAGACAGAGAAAGGAGCCTCTAGTCTAAGAACTTCAGAGATGTATTTTGATTCTGACTCCTAGAAATAAACTGTAACTAAAAACACATGTAATGCCAAAAATACCCCCGCCCCCAAATCGGCAGTCTAGTCTGCTAAGGAGATCTAACTGCAGAGTTAGTAAAACATTTACAGAGTAGGGAAAAGGTGAAAGAATCAGAAGATACGGTTTTGATTCCTGCTTCTCATCTGTTAGTCCTACAGAAGCAGTTTACCTCTCTAAGTCTCAGTTTTTCATCTTTAAAATAGGTTAACTTTGGGGACCTCATAGGGTTCTTGGAACCAACACATGTGGGAACCTTGTGGAAACAGTGTGTCAATGTAAGGTGTTCTCCACTATTACACTGCAACATGAGCACATCCCAGAATAAACATTCTGGGTTGAATAATCTTAACTGTAAATAGGCCCTCAGGGATCTAAATCCTGTCTTTCTCTGGGTTTGTGATTATAGCTTCTTTCTGAGCCTTTCATAAGTATTAGCTACATCTAAAAGTGTCTGTGTAGATGAGGAGATCAGAGGGACAAAAGATAAACCCTGGGTTTTGACCTTCCCACTGATGCACTGTTGTGAGGAACTCACCTGTATCACAAACTTTATGCAGCAAGCATTTATCTTCTTCATTCCAGGTATCCAAGTATTCGTCGGGGCCACAGGGCAGGCATACACTGTCTGAGGTAGTAGTGCATTTAGAAGACATGTACTTTCCTTAAATTGGAAGGGGAAAAAATGTGCCAATCAAAGAACAAACACCGACACAAAGCAAAATGACAACAAAAACGGCACCAGTCTGTAGGATCAGCTTACATGCCTGTGATCCCAGAGGCCTCAAAGACAACATAACATGTGATGTGAGCGTACACAGCACCAACATAGGACCCTCGGCCCCTCAGGCTGCTCAGGTGGCTAAATAGCCTCCCCTGGGTTTGCTGAGCGTGCAGGCATAGCCATGCCTCGGTTCTTTGGAGTAAAAGAGTACCACTCTTTGCACTAAAAAAACTCTGCTAAGCAGGAGAGCTAGGGTTTTAAACTTGGCTCTGAAGAATTTGAGGGGCTTCTTAGAACCCATTCAGGGAACAAGGGGGCTAAGCAAGAGGAACTTCATTACCCCCTCCCCTCTCCCATGTTCAAACTATTTGTTATCAGTCTGGGCACTTAACTTTTTTTTTTTTTTTTTGCAGTTTTTTGTTTGGCCAGGGCTGGGTTTGAACCTGCCACCTCCAGCATATGGGGCTGGTGCCCTACTCCTTTGAGCCACTGGCACCACCCCAAATCTGGGTAGTTAACTTCTTGTGTCCTATGCACACTGTGGGCTCATGGTTAAGTTGTTTTGACTAAGAGTCTGTCCTTCTTTCTCTCTTACACACCCCCCCCCCACACACACACACACTTGAAAAAGAAAATCACTGGATCTTGGTTCTATACATCCAAGAAATATTCATCACTGACATATCCTAAGGGCCTTGTTATAAGATAACCCACCCATCTCTCCTCTTTCCAGAACAAAGACAGAGTGTGGACCCAGTGAGCTAGGGACTTCACTGGGGCTGCAGAAATACTTGGCCACACTCCTGGCAGAACAACCATGAGAAGTGGTGGCCAGTCCACCTTCTATTCCTTGGCAAGTATGTGGGAGAAGGTTTGATAACAGTTTCAGCAGTTCTCAGAAGGAACATTTCCAGTACGGTTTTATTTTATTAACACAAAATAAAATTTCTGTGAAAACAATTTTAAACAGCAGTGGCATTTCACATTTTGAGAGTTTGAATCATATAGTGATAAAACATGGTTTTAAGAGAAAACTTCCTGCTATCTCAAGAAACAGTGTTGTGGAAAATGGTGTTTCAGTACAAATTAAGTACTGGTTTCTAAAACTGCTTTCGATCTTTAAGTGATTTCACTTATTTTATAGAGAACAAGTTTTGTCTTCATAGTGACAGACATTACTACTTGCCACTGCCATGAAAAGTCTATCCAATTTCTCTTTTCACCTGACAGGAGACAAAGCAAAACAAGGAAAGCCCCACCCACTTCTGAGGAAGAGGGGGAGGTGCTCGGAGCAGCCCCACCCACTTCTGAGGGACAGGG